AGAGTAGTGTCGAAAACTGTCCGATGCGCCAAAATACGCCTCACCATGTCGCGGAAACGTTTATTTACAGTATCCAGACGCTGGCAAACGAGCTAAAATCTTTATGGTAGAGAAAAAAGCGCTTTAAAAGCTGAATATATTTTTTGTCATTTTAAGCAGCTATTAAACTGGCATTGGCTTAATCTATTGCCTCAAAAATTGATACCTCTCCTGACGTCATATTGCTCAAAATCATCGTCTCTACCTCGAGGGGCAAACGACAACAAGGGGTGCGTAAGGAGACCATTTTCTGAAGTTGCGGTATGAAAGCACGAGGTTTCTACTGCTTTATGTCCCAAAAAAGTTCGAAAACATGCGATAAGGAAAAAATGGTGCAATATAATGGCGTGGAGATTTTGTTGTACAAGACATTCGGCAAAACAAGTTTTGCATAGAGAGGCAGAGAGAGACAGAGAAAGAGAGGGAGTGAGAGCGAGAAAGAGAGTGAGAGAGTAAGTGAAAAAGAGAGATCATGGCTTGAGCCTCAGCTCAAATCTGCTAAATTTTGAAAACAGTTAGTAAGGCAAAATAGCACAATAAAAATATAGGCGATTTTTTTGTACAAAAATTTCGTCGAAAAAATTTGGAAAGCGAGAAAAAGAAAGAGAGAGAGAGAGAGAGAGAGAGAGAGAGAGAGAGAGAGAGAGAGAGAGAGAGAGAGAGAGCGCGCGAGCGAGCGAGCGAGACAGAAAAGAAGCGAGGGAGCGCGCGCGCGAGAGAGCGAAAAAGCGTAAGAGTGCGCAAAAAAGCAGAAACTTCATATTGAACTATAGAAACTCCTTCCATTAATGCATGCTTATCAGAGGTCAAATCCGTCGGTCATTTGCATAAATCTGATAAAGGTCATTTGCATAAATCTGATAATGATAATCAACCAGCTTTTTGCAATAAATTAGGATATGAAAATTGCCAGCCACATTTCACGTCGTTATTTTACCAATTTACTCATTTTTGTTTATTTTCTACTGTAGCAAAAATTGTTCATTTTCCATGACCCATTGCCAGCCTTAAAAATCCTAAAAATTAGCATGAAAATTCACAAAAGCACCAAAAACCCGTGGCCGGCCGCCAAAAATGGGGCACGAGCCCGTGGTAAACATGCAGGCAAGGCAGAGGGGATGAGGGAACTGAACGTCGGGAGGCTCATTCTCTCCGGCCCGCTCTCATTTCGCTCTGTTTCTTTCGCTGCTCTCTATCGGGTGGTGCTCTCTAGCCCGACTGGGGGATGCCCGCGCTATGATGTTTGGGCGAGTGGCAATGTTGACCCCGCGGCGTGCTCGCTCTTGGAAGGTGGCGCAAAAAAACACAAGCAAATAATATATGGAAGGGAGAGAGAGAGAGAGAGCGAGAGAGAGAGACGGACCTATAGATAGCGAGGGACCGAGAGAGTGAGGAAAACAGAGAGACGACCATTAAATTTCTATGATGAATTAGTAAAACGAAAGGAAGAGATAGAGAAAAAGAGAGAGAGAGAGAGAGAGAGAGAGAGAGAGAGAGAGAGAGAAAGGGGGGGAGAGAGAGAGCATGAGCGTGATCATGAGCGCCAGCATGCGTGTGAGCGAGAGCAAGCGAGTCACAGAGAGGAGGAGAGATAAATACCTAGATAAATAGAGTGAGCGCGAGAGAGAGAGAGAGAGAGAGAGAGAGAGAGAGATCACAAGATGGAGCTCAGAAAAACAAGATTAAAAAAATAGAACAAAACCCTTATCTAGCCGATTACGTAGAAACCAGAAGCTTTCGCGGGAAAACGGAAAAGATCTGTAGCCTGACCCGAATCTTCCCAATTTCCATCTTTAGTGCTACTGGGATATCCTTCCTTCTTCCCCTCTCTGCCTGTCTGTCTGTTTGTGTGTGTTTTTATCTGCCCAATTCATCCCCCCACCCAATCTATCCAAAATACCCGCCAAAACTACGCGGACCTTATCACAAAAAGTGCCAGGCCGCGGGATGGCCCCCAAAGCACTGCTGCCTCGGCACAATTCTCGACCATTGAAAGTTCGGGGTTATCAAACGGCTGAAGAGGTTTTAAGAGGGTTTAAAGATGATTTCCAGCCGGGATTTTTAGGTATCGCTACTGCTTCATAACGATACCATAAAATGTGAAAATACAGAGAAAAACAGTTTTTCTAAAATTGAAATTAAAATTAATAAGCTGGCAAGCTTTGGAGCCAAAAAACGATTGGAGCACCAGGAAAGCTCTTAAAAATTGAGCTTGAGTTGTGTCTTACAGTCTGACCCACCTTCATCAGTTTGCCGGTGAGTTTTAGAGAAAATTCTATTTCTAAAATGTTTTTGGACAATGATTGGTGGCGTAGTTTTGGAATAATTTTATCAGGGCGCGCTCAAGTTCTAAGACGGTCTCCGATTAAACAAAATTCTGTCAGCCTTTTTGGACTGTTTACGGGGAATATAAGTCGCAAAAAGGCACTAAACACTTGGGCGAACAATAGACATTAATTCCGCAACGTTTTCGTAGCCCAGGCGTGGATGCCAAAAACGGCATCCGCAAAGCATGATCAGGCTGATGCAATATCGAGTGCGAACGTGAAGATCGCGTGGGAAAATTGAGTTCTTTTCAAGTTCATAACTTTTAAGTTCGCTGAAAACGTTTTTTTTGGCAATTTGAATAATTTAAATACGCTCGAAGGCACGTCGTTAAAAAATGAAGATCGCAAAGTCGGGAGAGCCACGAAAACAATGGCAGTGATGTCAATCGGACAGCCAGACCGACCATCCATTCCGCCACAATCCAAAATACGCCCAGCACAGAGAACCGACAAAAAAGCGGCAGACAAGTGCAAGGGGAGGGCTAGCCACGCGATTGAGGTAGCAACAAAACATGGGTTTTTGGATTTTTGGACCTATTGGAGGCGAGAGAAGAAGAAGAAGAGAGAGAGAGAGAAAGAGAGAGAGAAAGAGAGAGAGAGAGATAGACATTAACAAAACTTGAAACATCGTACCCAAATACAAAATATCGGGATTCCTAAGCGAAAGTTAAAACCAGGCCCTTGTTTTCGTGGCGAGCGTCTTGTGGAGCTTTGCGGAAAATCAGTTGGGGCCATGTGGACCAACTGACCAGCGCTGCCCAACGGCCAAAACACCTGAAAAATGGGGGGAGAAGCTGGAAAGAGTGGAAAAAGCAGCTAGACGGAAAAGCTCTAGGGGCTGACTTGTGATGGATTGAGAAAGCCGATTTCAAGGGGGGCATAAAAAGTTAAGTTAGCTTGGGCTTAGCTTAGGCTTAGTCTAGTCTTAGTTTAGGCTTAGCTTAGGCTTAAGCTTAGGCTTAGGCTTAGTTTAGGCTTAATCTTAGCTTATGCTTAGCCTACGGTATCCATTATCGTAAAATAATAATAACCTCACAAATATGCTTTCGTTAATGGATTCCACCCTCACCTCTTTGCCCTTCTGCCCCCATCCACTTTTATGGCCAGGGGCGATGTCCATTTAGGGGAGAAGCCAACCAAGAAGAAGAAGCCGTTCCTTGGCCCATTTGTCCGTCTTCCGGCCCCTCTTCCGGCCCGGCCGGCTAAAACCACAACCAACCCCGAAAATACGACACCGCGACACGTTAGTAGGGCGTAGAAACTTTGGTTACTATACTTTTTCGGCCAGCTAGCAGGGATGTTTGGGGAAATTTCGGGTCTTGTCGTTTTAAAGGAAGCGCGACAGCTAGAGAAAAGGCTTCAATTTGAGGTCAGACTCCGCTGAAACTCAGAAAACTGAAAAACTTTGCATTGCACGTTAGGGAGAAATTTAAAAGCTTTGCTCCCTTTAAAAAGTGATTCTGGTTAGCCTACTCGCTTAAACCTTCCCGCCCACTCTCTCATTCTAACTCTCTCGCTTTCTCTTTCTCTCTCTCTCTCTCTCTCTCTCTCTCTCTCTGTGTTTCTCTTGGTCGCGATCTCTCTCTATGGTTTCCACGTACTAGCACTGTCTCTTCCTCTGCATCAATCGCTCTCTCTCTCTCTCTCTCTCTCTCTCTCTCTCTCTCACTCTCTCTCTGTCTCTCTCTGTCTCACTCTCTCACTCTCTCACGCTCTTCAATTTTCTCGCTTTCTCTCACCCTCGCTCGCTCACTCTCGCTCACTCACTCTCGCTCACTCTCCCTCTCTCGCGCTCTTTCAGATTTCTTGCTCTCAGGCCCCCTTTAAATCTGCTTCCAAAACCGCCCCGTTCCTCAAAAATTTGTTTTTGGCTTCGAAAAACTAAGAAAGCGAACCCCTACCGAACCCTAGCCATAAATCATGGCACTTTGTCTCCCGTCCCCCCTTGGGTGCCAATTTATGTCAAAAGCAACAAGTGTCCCTGACCCCCTTCTTTGGCCTCAGTCCCCAGTGGGGCCTTATGACAAGGGCCAAGGGGTGTGGCCCAAAATGGGCCCCAGGGCCCGAAGGTGACCCTGTCCCCCCAGAACAGAGCCGACAAACGCCTCGCACCCCGATTCGTCTTCTTTCCCAGGGCCCCCAGATCTACACCCTGGGCCCTGGGCCTTTTCTGGCCCTGGTCCCGGGCTGTGAATAGCGTTCGTTTGGGCCCTTGCAATCTTTGGCTCCGTTTTTTTTCGGGGGTTTAGAAAAACCACGCGCTTTTTCAAACGTTTTTTTAAGTATACAATTTTTCTAGTAGATTTTTAAGGGTTTTTCTGCATATTTTTCAGATATTAACTTTTTTGAAACCCGATTTGAATAAATTTTTTTTATACAGTATACATTAAATATTCATTATTCATTATTTTTATTAGCGCCTTTAAAAATAGGTCGTAACTGTCCAAATCCCAAAAAATCAACCCGCCTCATTCCCTCACAAAAAGCCCGACAACCCGGCTACTTTTCGATGCATCACCGGATGGCTAGAGAGTTGGGGGAAGCCAGGAATTTTTTGGGGGCAGATTGAGAGTGTTCGGATGTTCGGGGCGGAAATATGCAAGGAGCGAGCGAGCGAGAGGGAGCGAGAGAGAGTTACCTTGCTTCCAGGCTCCTTTAATCTAGCGGGCCCAAAAAACCGCAAACCAACTAACAGCTGTCATTCCCCATCCATCTCTTCATGTCAATCAGCGCCCTTAAAAAAATGCCTTGGGTTTATGATGTTCCAAGGGATTTTGGGTTCGATTTTTGTCATTCTTGAGATTTGGAATATCTTATCTCTTTTGCTTTCTCTGTCTCTTTCTCTCGACGCTCTCTCTCTCGCTCTCTCTCTCTCACTCTCTCTCTCTCTCCCGCTTGGCCTCACTCGCCTTTTTCTCTCTCCCGCTCGCTCTCTCCCCTCTATTTCGGTGTCTCTCGCTTTATTGAACTTTCTCTCTCACTATCTCACTCTCACTCTCTCTCTCTCTCTCTCTCTCTCTCTCCATGTCTCTCCATATGTCTCTCTATCTACTCAAACCTCATATTTCAGTACATGCCTCCCATCAGACACTAATGCGATCAACCGTAATCTTGGCCTGTCTCTGGCTGCATCATGGAGTCCTTGGTGAACAAACCCCAGCTAACCACTGCCTTCTACGATGCAAGGACAACCATATGAGAGAGGCAATTTATCTTGGGTACTGTAACTCATCCAGACTTTAGCAAGACAACGAGTGGTCCAACGATTTCACCCTCCCACTCCTGGCGCTTTTGAAGCAGACCGGAAATGAGACGGCGGCTTATTTGAAGGCAAAGGAGATTTGCGAGTGAGTCCATAGGAGCAGTGCGGACTTTTAAAGGGATTGGGAAGGCAGTCTTGGGGCTGACCACCTGCTAGGAGCATTATTTCCACCTGGCTGCTCTTAATGCACTTGTACTGCACCTTCTTTGTAAGGAGTTTTCGGCTATCAGTAAGTGGTTGGGTATATGGAGGGGCCAAAATGGGGCCCCGGAAGGGGTTTCCGCCCGGAAAATCGGCTGTGTTTGAGGCTGGGGAATAGTACTTGAAGGATGGTGGCCCACTGGTCAGTAGGTTTTAGGGCAATACACAAAGAAAATGAGTGGAAAAGGAAATTTTTAGCCGATATAGTGCCTTTAAACGCTTCTTGCACTCTCTTTTAAATCTCTCGCTCTCTCTAACCATCTCCATCTCCCTTTCTAGCTTTCTCTCACTTTCACTCGTTCTCCCGCTCTCTCTCTCTCTCTCTCTCTCTCTCTCTCGCTTGCTTTATCTCTCGCTCTGTCTCTCTCACTCTATCGCACCCTCACTCGTTCTCCCTCTCTCACTATCTTCCTTCCCCTCACTCTCTCGCTCTCTCTCTTTCTCGCTCTCTTTCTCTCGCTATGTCTCTGTCTCTCACTTTCTCCCACTCTCACTCGCTTTCCTCTATCTCTCTCTATATCGCTTTCTTTCGATCTCTCTCTCTCTCCCCATCTCTCTGTCTCTCTCTCTCTCCATCCCATTCATATTCCCCCTCTCCTCCCATCCATAATCGCATTTCGACGTGGATGGGCAACAAAAATTGGCACCTCCACCTAGGCTACATCCCTCCAGCTGTTTCCTGAGAGCCCCCGGGCGATGTCTCCGGAAAGTGGAGGGAAAAGCCAATCCCATCCCGTCCATCCCACCGATAAATTGAATCAAAAACGGAGAAGACCTCTAGATGGTTCTAGGTTTGGCTGGCTGGGTATGAGATGGAGACCGGATATTCTTATAGACCTGGGGAAAATTGAGAACGAAGTTGAAAAGTCTGAGCAAGTCTCAAGAAAATTGCGCATCAGCTAAGTCTAAGCTAATCCAAGCCAGCTATATATATCCAGCTATATATAAGCCAAGCCTCCAAATCTCGGTAATTACAGCAACAACCGACTCCTGGAATCGTGCCTAAATCTATGCAGCGAATCCGTTGAGATCGAGATCATCCGGCTCGGGCTCCGAGCATGGGATCGGACGTGCCAGAGCATAGAGGGTAGGTTATTTCATAAATTCACCGTATACTACCGTACACTATCGTACCCTATATTACGCTACAGTACGCCGCAGTACGCTACAGTACGCCGCGGCAGGCTGCAGTACGGTGCAGTACTTTCCTGTATCATACGCATTTTACACGGGTCGGGATTGGCACAGACGACCGCTCCTGAATCGCTATGGCGCGCCCCATAGCGATTCAGGAGCGATCGTCTGTGCTAATCCCGACCCGTCATTTTACAGGGTATACACTATTTTTTAACGGTTACAGTATCCACAAAAATGAATTTTTGGAGTTCTAGTCTATACAAAATGCCATTTTTAAGTATTACGGTTTCCAAAGATTCAATTTTTTGCAAGATTAGTTCTTCTACAAAGCAACATCCTACAGTACCTTGCTATTTATTTCAGAGGTTCGCTCCGAGCTGCCGTGCTGGAAAAAGCAGGGATTCGTCATCACCCAAATGTGTGAGGGTCACACTAATCGGCTGAGGTGGGCGCGATTTGGGTTACTGTACCTGGGTCACGGTTTAGGAACAGCATGGAGTACTTTGCGCGCAACATCTCGATGACGTCGTTGCCTAGGGTTTGCAGGTATGAATCCATCTTTCTCCCGCTCCCTCTCTCTCTCTCTCTCTCTCTCTCTCTCTCTCTCTCTCTCTCTCTCTCGCTCTCTCTCTCTTTAGCTGAATCTCCCAATTTCCAGCAATTTCGACGAGTTCTCGAACTGCTTCATCTCGGCGTTCGGCAAGTTCTGCGGCCGCTACTCTGCCCAGGTACTGTAATAACGTTAATAATTCTGAAATTTGCATATTTTTGCGTTCCGATGGACAACATTTATTTTCTAGCTGACCGAACGAATGTTTGAGGCGAATAAGGAGGCCATGTTCAAGATGGTGCGCCTCAGATTTAGGTAAGAGATAGAGAGAGAGATAGAGAGAGAGAGAGAGAGAGAGAGAGAGAGAGAGACGGAAAGAGAAAGAGAGATAGAGAGCGAGAAAGAGGGAGAGAGCGAGAGAGCGAGAGAGAGAGGGAGCGAGAGAGAAAGCGAGAGAGCAACAACTATCCAAGTTTAGACAACTACCACTTCCTGACGCTTGCGCGGCCACTATCATGCGACGAGACGCCGAGATCTCCTCAGCCTCCCAGGTGCTGCTCACAAAAATTCTATTCTTCCTGGTGCTCACCTTGAAATTCTGAATCTACTACCCAATTTTTACGCTGAACATTGCCCCGCCTTTCCACTCCGATTCTTTTGCTATCCCCCGATCGATCTTTCACCAAATTTGTGATATGCTTATGATGCTAATTATTCGAAAAATTGACTATTTTTTTATTCCTTCCTTCCTTTTCATAAAAAATAGCCTTTGATTATGCATTTTTTCAGAATTTTATGCAAGTTTACTTGTTTTTTTTTACAGATTTTATGCATAAACGTGAAAAATGAAGAAACTACTGATTGCATAAAGCGGATTCTAAGGTTAGTACGGATTTCAAAAAAAAACTACAGGGTGCCCCAAAAAAGTACCCCCTCTCTAGCGGCGCGGCGGAAGCTCGGATCGGGCTGATTTTTACCCCATTCGAAAGCCCGAAAAGGCGAGAAAACAAGCGGATTTTGTTTTTTAAGATTTCCGCTCATTTCATCGACATTTAACGTTTTCAAAAAAAAACGTGTCATTTTTCAGCAGGAATTCGCAACTAGCATGCAAATCTTGCATAAATCAGCGGTTTTGATGGTTTTGGGACGTAAAATGCGCGCGTAAAAATAAATAATAAAGAAAATCTACCTTCCTTATTTTCTCGCTTTTTCGAAGGCTTTCGATAGATACCTAAAACGTGACAATCGGACATGACGGCGTGCCGCCAGAGGGGGGGGGTATTTTTTTTGGGGCACACTGTATGTAAATTTATATGCAAATGAGCCAAATTCAAAACTATTTAGCGCAAGTTTCTAAAAATTACTTTTATGCAAATCAAAAATTAGAAAATTAGAATCTACGCTCAAAATTCAAATTTTACGCAAATTCCCAGCCAAAAGAAGTAATTACAACCATTCAATTTAATGCTAGTTTTTTCAGGCTCAAAATTCACAGGGTCCTGCAAATTCTCAGGCAGCTTACCTCACCATCAGAATCACCAAGAGATAAGCGCCCAAAACAGCAGCCAAAACGCGCTCACGGAAACGATTTCCCTGTCCACTCTGCCAGCATGCCACATAGGTGACACCACTGTTAACACAGTTGTGCCACCTGTAGATTATTGAACTGTGCCCCAACAGTGTCACAGCTGTACTTGGGGCACCCACAGCAGTGCCACCACTCGGCCACTGCCATGCATACCGCAGCATAGCGTTGGCACCACAGAAGCACAGTTCATGCTCCTCGCACTTCCCAAAACCAATTTCCGAGTGGGAATTGGTTTGAAAAGTACTCGGAGTTGATCATGAGTACAAAATAGCAAGGGTATTCAACCCCAAACACGGAAAAAGTACACGGAAAAAGATAACTAAAATTTTTATACCGACAATACGATAAAGATAACATAAAAGAGTATGGCACTTATCTGCTAGCGGGGGGCGGATTGTTTAGTTTTTATGCCTATTCATCCTCCTAAAATTGCCCCCAAAAAACTACGGAATATTTTTATAGAATTGTTCACTGGATTAAAGAATAAAAACATCCTTAGAAACCGAAATTTTTTTGAAGTGCGATTAGAGAAAACTTATTCAAAATTTGCTAAATTTAGGCCTTGTAAAAAGAAATATTTATTTATTATTACAGAAAACTACGCAAACTACCAAAATTCTTTCTTTTTTTAGTCGGGAATATTCAAAGCAGAAAAATAAGATATTTGCCTTCCCGCCGCTAACAGTGAAGCGCACAAAAAAAAGTAAAAATCAGACTTGCAACTGCGTCGTTCGTCGTCGCGCTTCACCAGCGACTGCCGGCCACCAATTCGACGTCCGGGCGTCTTCACCGAGCGTGCGCACGACTAAAAAGGCTTTATTTATTGGCTAAACATACTTTAAAAAGATAATAGATATAAGTATACAAATTCAGTTTATGAATAGAAAATATCTACCAAAAAGGAAGACAAAGAAATACCTTGCACTCCAAAGCAGACTAGCGGGATGACCATTGACGGGTCCAAGTAGCAATTCCTAAAAAAATGGCTGAAAAAAACACAGAAAGTAAATACCTCAGCCCATCAGAGATTGCCGCAAAAAATCGTTGAGCAATTCATCGGCCTAAAATCACCATATTGAGACAAGATTAAATAAGACACTCTAAATCAATCAATAATTTGTAAAAATATACCATATTAGCGGCCTCTACGCCGGCGAGCTGTTGATTCTGACCGGGTTACCTAGAAATTATAAGTCACGAACACAAAAAACATACTTTTATGACGCCCGGCGTCACTGAGAGGCATACTTGACGGGCACTTCATCCGACTGCGGCGCCATGCTAAAACAGAGAAAGTTAGAAAATTAAAAGTTAAAATACATGAATTCCCAGGTACATCTTGACGAAACTGACGGTGCCGAGGAGATCTAACCTAAAACAGGCGTTTTACAGCAAAAGGAATGACCAACGTACAAAAACAAACGCATAATACAAGAAGAACGTACCTGAACAAACAGAACCACTACTTCTGGGGGTTACAGCAACGCGGACCTCAATCTGCAGTCGATTTGCGGGCGTCGATCGCATCACATTCCTAAATAATAACCGAAAAGCGCACCTGGGTTTAGCAAAGTAAACGCATAAACCGTTGTCGACTTCTTTTCGTGGTGCCGTTGAATTCCTAAACCACATACTTACTAAAAATGTTATAAAAACGTACCTTTAGGTCATCGCGTCCAAATTTGCACCATTTGTTTCCGTTTTCCCTCTGCCCCCAGATTCCCTTAAAAATCTTTGCTAGCTTACCGTCAAAGAACAGCCTTTTTCACCTTTGAAATTGAGAGATTTCCGGGCCCATTTAGATTACGGTATGGCAACAAAGCGTCCGTAATTTGAAGCGTGGCGGCGGCACGAAGCGTCGGATCTCGATAAAAATTTTGCTATTTGAGATTCCGATCATTCGAGAACTTGCTATTCGAAATTTTGTAATTAAAGCTGCTGATCGGAAAGCATCAAAAACTACCTCTAGGCCCCTCAAGATGAAAGAACGATGCACATACGATGGTTCCTGTTCTGTCGATACTTCAACGCCAAATGAGCCACCCTGATAGCTGAGATTTGCAATATCCCTAAAAACGTGATGAATAACAACAAGTGGGAATGAATACCTTGGGAGCCAATTCGTGCAGTTTCATGTAGAGAAGAGGGCCTTCTTGAGACATTGTCGACAGCACCGTCACATCACTGAAAAACAATGAAGAAATAAACGATCAGCTGACCCAGATATGGCCAACAGGCCGACGGCATTTTCGAGGTTGGCGTACAGCTTGCAGTTGATCACGTAATTGACGGCATCTTGTTGGGCCTGGAGTCGAGTAGGCGCGTAGTGCCCGTTTCGCATAAACTCCGAACTGTAGACGCTGAACGACGGGATCTGTTCGAGATTTTCAGAAAAGAAACTCACCGAATCATTGTACTTTCTTGCACCATGGTTGCGAGTTGTTGAGAGGACTGAAAAAGACGTATGAAGCCATGAAGGAATGAACGCTTGCAAAAATTTAAAGATGGCGCCGGGAAGATGGTTTTATCACGATAACAACCCGTTTTCGACTTTTGTTATGCAAAAACTAAAGAAAAATATCGCAAAGTTTCGGTACAGCATCGCGAAATGATTGAGCCAAGGTCGAAGTTTCACCAAACCATCAATAAAAGAAAATCAGGGCATGTTGTGGTGTCAGCTTTGCTGGACCACATTAGATCCTCTTTCCCGGCTGTCCCTCCTATCCAGTGGGTAAGCCACCGGCGCGCGCCCCCTTGCGGTCGCGTCGCGTGCGCCACTTCCCGCCTAAGACTAGATTGTATTATATCGTTGCGGGTCCACTTATCGGCACAGACTAGCTCTGTTGCCGATCCTCCTGCCACCATTTATGTAGATAAACAGTTGTTCGATAACTGTACGTCCAAGCGCATTCTACATCGTTCGACTACTCATTTCGAGGATCACAACAACTGGCGAGCAGGATCAAGAACTCACGCAAGATCAAGGGATGCCCCAGCCAACAAGCCACTCGAGCCCGAGAACGTGATCAAGGATGAAGAAAGAAGGTGGAGAAGCGCAAGAAGTCAAGTCAAGCCGACGAGACAAGGACCAAGAAAGCGACAAGGTCAAGGAGAGCGACAAGGTCGAGGTCAGGGACGTCTACATGGTTGGCGAGCGACAAGGAAGAAGGCATGGCGAGAAGATCAAGGAGCAGAGCGTGCTGATGCCGGCGGGCCCATCGATGGATGATGTGCCGGTGCCGCTCGTGCAGGATCAATTGAAAGGGAGGTGTTTTGTTCCCCTTTTTGCCCCCACATTTCCGGGTGGAGGGCACGCTGCCGTTGTCGAAGAAGGAGGAGGGTGCAAGTGCCTGAAGTGCCCGGCGACCGGCCGCCGTTTTGCCCCAAGGACCGCCACAAGCCGCGAAGGTAGCAGAAGAAGAAAGAAGTTGGTTAGTCCTCAACCAAGAAAGGACCGAAGGAGGTGCGCGTGTCAAGCCCAAGGCCGCGCCTACAAGTGAAGCCGAAGACGGAAAGAAGGAAAAGAAGGTCGACAAGAAGGAGGACGTGATGTGAAGGCGATGAAGGTGAAGGAAGGACGTTGTTGGTGATCGTCTCGCTGCGCGTCATCAAGGAGTGAAGGAATAAGCAGATAATTTTTCTTAAACTTTATTGTGCTTTTTCACTCGATTCCTATCCCGGTCCCTCCAATCTACACTTGTTTTTTGTGTAAGGGGAGGTGTTGTGGGGCCAGCTCGCTGGACCACATTAGACTCCGCCTATCTCATGTTCCACCTGTCCCAATTTCTCCTAGGAATTCGTACTTTGTTTTGTACAAGGGGAGGTGTTGTGGTGTCAGCTTTGCTGGACCACATTAGATCCTCTTTCCCGGCTGTCCCTCCTATCCAGTGGGTAAGCCACCGGCGCGCGCCCCCTTGCGGTCGCGTCGCGTGCGCCACTTCCCGCCTAAGACTAGATTGTATTATCTCGTTGCGGGTCCAATTATCGGCACAGACTAGCTCTGTTGCCGATCCTCCTGCCACCATTTATGTAGATAAACAGTTGTTCGATAACTGTACGTCCAAGCGCATTCCACATCGTTCGACTACTCATTTCGAGGATCACAACAGGGCACAAAACCCATAATAACGATTCCAGAACGAAAAAGCTAACTTGAACCATTTATTCTTTAGACAAAGGCCAGCGAGATCAAGGAAAGGGCGAACACACAAATTGAATTTTTTTACAAACCGGAGAAAATTTGAAAGGATTCGGGGCTACCCTCAAAGGCAGTCGAGACTTCACCCGGCGCGGATTTTCAAAGTCTATTTGGGGCTACACGAAACATTTTGCCTATCAAAAAAGGGCAAATTAATTTTGGACAATATTTGCGCGGTTCGGGATTCATTTGCCGTTTGGTTCTAGAAGATTTTAGCGCCGTAGAGGTTTTACGCAAAAATGGGCGTGCGAGCATGGAAATGGACGGGGGAAGAGCGGAGAGGAGAATTGGGCGTAGTACTAATCGGTGCGCTTCTCGGCGTGCTTCTTCGTGAATTCCTCGGCCGTCTTCATAAAGCGCCCATGGTGGTTGGTGAACTCGTCGGCCACGTCGGCGCGAAGAGGGTGGTTCGGCTCCGGGTAGTTGATCAGCTGAAAAATGGCTTTTCAACGCAAAGGGAAAAGCCGGATACCTGAAGAAGAGCGAGCAGCACCTGGTCGGCGCCCGTGGCGGGGTCCCATTTGTCGGCATGCACGATTCCGAGGCTGATCTGGCCTTGTTCATCGACGTTTGGATGGTAGATCTTGGTTTCGAGGGTGAGCTTCGGTGGCTTGAACGGGTAGTCGGCGGGGAAATCGATTTGGACACGGAAGGCGCCCTTGGAGTAGGGCTCTTGGTCGGGTGGAAGGGTGACGGTCCAGTGGAGCAGGTTGCTCTCGCTGTACTCCACATTGCCGTAGGCCTTGGCGCCGGAGTTCTGGATGCCGTTGAGTTCTTCCCGCAAAAAACGCGCGGCCTCTAACTAAAGAATTGTTATAAAATACTTTTATAAAATATTGCGCATGATTTGCATTTAGCGGGGAATGGGGATCAAAATTTCTTTCAAAAAAAAATTCACCATCACGCAATATACAAAAACTTTTATCTCACTTTACACAGTTTTTAGATATAAAAATCTCATAAAAACAAAATTATCCAAGATTGAAAATTTTGAAGACTTCGTATAGACTGTCAGATCTATGGGAAAGCGCGCACGAGATGGGTTTCCCCCACCCGCCTTAAATCTTAATCGCCTTTCTTTCGCTCATAACTCTTTTCCCTGACCGTATTTCCAAAATCGTCGCGTGGGAAAGAGTTTTTTATAGTCACAAATATAGCAATCGAAAATTTTAAGGATTGTGGTCTTTTTCGATCATACTTTTCCCCTGCCCGTATTTCCAAAATAGCATAGATCAGTTCGATAGAAAAAAATTACGCACATTTCCGTAGGAAAATTTAATATAACAAAGTCTTGGCAGCGTTTTTTATAGCTTTCAAAAGCTCATGCGCGTTATGACGGCCCGTGAGATCAAAGACTACAAAGATACTTTATACTTTATATCAACAGCTATTTGTGACATAATTAGCAACTAGCCCCACTCCACCGACGCAATGGCAACTAAACAAAACGCTACGGTTTCGGAATTAGGCTAAAATCCTCGTTTCGATACCAACGCCTCTGCGCCCATCATTTTCAATCATACCTGGTTCTGGAGCAACGGGAAAGCACCGGCCGAATCATCGGGCTGTTCCCAGGGCAGTAGTGTTGGTTTTTTACCGGTACCGAAACCCAGTACCGGTACCGAACCCCCCTCGGGTACCGCGGTACTCGGCGGGTACCGGTACCGAACATCGGTACCGGGGCCCGGTACCGGTACTTTGTTGGTACCGACGGCATCTGTCCTTTTCCGGTACCGGTACCAGGTGAGTACCGAAGGCATCTGTACTTTTTCGTAGGGTTGGCATTTGAGGAAACCGGTTTCCGATCTCTTGGATTTGAATCAATGTTTGGATTGACCGGATTGTATCGAAATCGATTTTTCAATTGCATCCGATCGATCGATTCTGCATAAAAACCGATTTGAATAGGATCCGATTTGATCGGTTCTCGAAAAACCGGTTTTTTGATTCGAAACCGATCGATCGGTTTCGGAAAAAAATCGGATTCCAGGCGAGAAACCGAGCGGAAATGAACCGATTTATGGCGAATTTTGGATGCAAATCACGATATTCCTCATTTTTTGTGCTGAAATTGGGGGTCAGCTCGTAACTTCCAGAGCCATCATGTCTGGAAGGAACATATCCATTTTTTGGAAACTAAGAACGGCTTAGTTTCAAAAAACCGTAGGGCGACTGCCTGCCAAGCACCAAAAAAAATGATTTGCATCCAAAATTCGCCATAAATCGGTTCATTTCCGCTCGGTTTCTCGCCTGGAATCCGATTTTTTTCCGAAACCGATCGATCGGTTTCGAATCAAAAACCGGTTTTTCGAGAACCGATCAAATCGGATCCTATTCAAATCGGTTTTTATGCAGAATCGATCGATCGGATGCAATTGAAAAATCGATTTCGATACAATCCGGTCAATCCAAACATTGATTCAAATCCAAGAGATCGGAAACCGGTTTCCTCAAATGCCAACCCTACTTTTTCGGTACCGGTACCAAGTGAGTACCGAAGGCATCGGTACCTTTCCGGTACCGGTACCAAACCGACCGGTAACGGTACTGCGGGCCGGTACTGGCGGGGGCACAGGGCGCCGGCTTGCCCTCTCGCCGTGGGCCAGACGGGTGGTGTGTCGGGGGATCGAAGAGAGCGCGCCTGTTTTTCTCTCCCCCCCTCTCCATCTCCGTTGTTCCCTCGTCCTCTCGCATTCCCCGACACGCCCCCCGTCTGGCCCACGGCGAGGAAGCAACCCGCCCCCCTGTGCCCCCTCCAGTACCGGTCCGCAGTACCGTTACCGGTCGGTTTGGTACCGGTACCGGCAAAAGTACCGATCGGTCGGTACTCACCTGGTACCGGTACCGAAAAAGTACAGATGCCATCGGTACTCACTTGGTACCGGTACCGAAAAAGTACCGACCCTCTCGGTACATGCTTGGTACCGGTACCGGAGGTCCGGTACCGGTAAAAATGGCATCGGTAAAAAATGGCTGTCGGTACCGGTACTGGGTTTCGGTACCGGTAAAAAACCAACACTAGTTGAAAAGTCGCGTAGCGGCTTTTCTTTTCTTATTATTCCTGGTATCCAATCCAACCTTATATAATTTGGTCGCGTATCTCTGTGTATGTGTGTGTGTCCGGCGCTAGGGAGGACTACTTTTATCGAAAGTTGCGAGCATTATGCTGCAACGTTCGATGGTTTGCTAAAACCTGTACGTTACCGTAGCGCGAGGCCCCCTCGGAGAGAGGGGGCCGGGCGGCTTTCGTGATTATTCCGAACAGACGATTTACGGATTTCTCTAGGGTTTAACGACCAGGTCTGTACGGGTATTGCGTTAGCAGAAGACCAGCTACCTTTTGCCTCACGCCCAGCATCTTTTGCCTAAGACCAGCGAGTCAGACCAGCACTTTACCTTGCCCTCTCCATCCATCGATGAGTGTGCTCGTATTCTAATGGTTTACATGCCGATAAACTTTGTGTATACCTTTTGTATCCTTATACCGAAATGCATTGGATTCTATTACACGATTGTAGAAACTACCACTGAACATTACTGCTTGTATAGCCTCTTGGGATCCCTTGCCATCTCCCGGTCTATCGGATGCAGGGTTGTCCGAGCGGGGCCCAAGGGGCAAAGTCCAAAGTGATAGTGTGGCAACTCTAGCCTTCCTCCGTGATCTTATAGTAGAGGATATGGCGCAGAGGGACTATTACTTTCGACATGGTGCGTCTGGGATACAAATTCGGGTCTAGAATTCCATTGCAATCGGTCCAAAACTCGGCAAAATGTCCAGAACAAAAGTCCAGTATTTTTCTATTTCATTTTAGTTTGTTAGCGCTAGCCAACGTCCAGCAAACTGAGCTTAAGCTCCAAGGCTAAGACTCAAAAGCCCAGCCATCATACCATCCGGTGTTGTCCGTAGACCGCCGTGGATCGTGGTTGATGCTTTTACAACGGAGAGATCTCTTCAAGTTTTCTGCAGGTGTATGCCTGGTACGGTCTTTAGACTACCTGGAGGTTGGAAACAACTGCCTTCCCTGCAGAGATGCCGCAGCACGGTCTGTAGACTGCTGACGGAGGAAGATTTTCTACTCTTTAAACTGCGCTAGCATTCATGACTGCTTTTGTCAAGCCCAGCCGACTGCCTTCATCGTAGAGACGCCGGGGTTAATCTGTAGATTATTCCGGAGGTTTTTCTGTAGAAAAACCGCTTTGTTCTCTGCTTTGATGCCTGACAAGGTCTGTAGACTGTCATGGAATGAAGGTTGCTGCTTTTCAAACAGTACTTGGAGTAGAAGGTAATGTTTTCTTTTGTTTTCAATACGAGTATGCGCTGTACAGCATCGTCATACTCTCCAAAAAGCCCCTTTGGGCACGCGTTTTGGTGTCGGCTCGCTCGCCCCTTTGGCAAACCCTGTTGCGCGTGCGCACCCCTTACGGGCACGGTCCTCCCACCCTAGTCTCTTTCGTATTTTCGTCTTTTCGGTTTCCCCCTTCCTGTAAATTCGTTCCCCCTCCTGTAAATTCGGTCATTACTAGTTTTTAACCTTCCCTGACTTTTTTTTCTAATGAGACTAGCTTATTTAACTTTTTTTAGCTTTTTTAACAAAAGCCCAGCGAGTTTTCTCCTTTTTTCGATAAGGAAAACTCTTTCATGCCCAGTTTTACGTCCAAAAAACGTTTTATAAAGGCCCAGCACGGTATTTCCGTTTTCCTCTCATTTTGGGAGCAAAGCCCAGCAAGTTTATTCCTTCTTTCAAAAAGGAAAACACCGTTGCGGCCGAAGATTCCACAAGAAACCAAGGCAGAAGTCGACGCTCGAAACGCCGCAAGCTGATGCATCGCCTGCGATGACGTTTCCCCGATCAAGCCCTGGACAAGTAATGATTAAAGCAAGGTAAAAAGTCCAGCAAAACATTTGTTCTGTCAAATGTTTGTGGTCGAATACATTTCGCACCGCGGGCTGATAATGCTTGTGGCGAATGCTATATTGTTTGCCCTCATTATCATGCTCATGCCCAGCAAAGAAGTTTCGTTACGCTTGTGCGCGGATTATATATTGTCTGCCCTCGTAACGAAAGCTTCTTCTTTACGTCCAGCGAAAAGGAAGCTTAACCATGAGCGTGCGCGGATGCTATATTGTCTGCCCCCGTGGTTAAATCCTTTTCTAATGCCCAGAACGAATTTTTCGTTATTCTCCTTTATTAGGAGGAAAGTCCAGCAAGTTTTCTTTCCTTTTCTCAAAAGGAAACACCGGCCGCTGCATGCATCTACACGACAATCAAGGCGGATGTCAGCAATGTCAAGCCGTCTATAGAAGGAAGTCGCTCGATCATGTTTCCACATTCAACAGCTGGGATGTTGGGACAAATTGATCGTGATTCCCGGACGATTGAGATGCAAGTCAGGTGATAAGCCCAGCAAGCATTTGTTTCGGCAATGCTTGCGGTTGAACAATCTTTGTTCACCGCATGATTTGACAGTGTTTGTGGCGAATGCTATATTGTTTGCCCTCATTGTCAAATCAACGTCCAGCGAAGAAAGTTTAGCCATGTTTGTGCGCGGATGCTATATTGTCTGCCCTCATGGCGAAGGCTTCTTCTTCATGCCCAGCCAAAGAAAGTTTTTGTCGTGTTGTGCGCGGATGCTATATTGTCTGCCCTCATGGCAATCACTTTCTTGCGAAGCCCAGTACTGTTTTACAATGTCCAGGCCAGCAAAAGCTGCGCAAAACTCCGATCTGCCCGATCAGCGTGACGTTGTTCCGATCATCAAGCCTGGAATCCTCTTCGAGTTACTCTAGGGAGCCGGCGGACATCGGTCGTGGAGCTCGGCTCGCGGTTTGGCGATAGGAGCAAGCCCAGAGGGTTACTTTCGTGACCCAAGATGTCCAGCAGACCGATCATATTTTGCTTTCGCGATTTATATAGGTCTAAACGTCCAGCGTGCTGTTATCAGCACCTATTTCACGTCCAGCTATCGGTGAATTTTTCAATTTTCAGTTCAAGAAGGAGAAACAAGAAGGATTTGCACGAAGCACTTCGGGAAGCTGCGTATTTGGCTCGCTCTAGCACGTCTGCGCGGTGGCTGCAGATCTCTGTGCCTTGCCGGGCGGGCGGCGTTCCGAATTCTGGGTCTAAAAGGCCCCGCAGCGAGTTCGTCTCGCCCCGTATCTTCTTTGCTATTCATTCTTTGCACGAATTGCTCATTATTCGTATTCCTCCATTATTTCTTGCTGGAAAAATCGATTTTCCGATGTAATTTTGCGCGTTTACGCAAAATTTCGATGCCCAGAATGAGCCACGCCCAGTTGGAAAGAAGTTTTAGCCGTTTAGGTGCTTTGCCGCCCTGCACGGCTCAATTTCTTTTCCTTTGCAAGGCCCAGTAGAGCTTTTTAGCGGTGTTTGTGCGCTAAGGCTTTGTGCCGCCGCCACTATTCACTTGCTTTTTCATCCAAAAGCTCCAAAGTCCAGCAGGAAAGTCTTGGCGGTGCATGCGCGTGGTGCTCTATAGCTCGCCTTCACCGTTATGACTTTTTCTTCATGCCCAGCAGGAGTTCTTATGCATAGCTGTTGTGCGTATCGGCTATTGCCCGCCGTCAATAGCATCCAAGCTCTCTTCACACGCCCAGATGTCCAGCCCAAAAACTGTTTTAGGTGACTGTGCGATATGGCTAACCGCTCGCCTTCACTAATAAAAGTTTTTTCAAGTCCAGAGTAGTAGAAGTCAATGATGTTTGCGCGCGGAGCTTATTGCCTGCACCCATCGTTGTCTT